CTAGCTGGCAGACATAAAACGGGTGAACCACAGTCATGCCTTGGAAGGTGATGTCCAGCCACGCCCGGTTAGTGATACACTCCCGGGTTTGGGTGTAGCTGGTGATTTTCAGGTCACTGGGTTCAACCTGGACTGGTTTTCAGAGCGACCGCATGGTGTCGGACACGCGATGGAACAGTGTGGAGCACATCAGGGTGATTTTGGAGCCGGTATCCAGCAGAGCATCAACTGTATGCATCTACCTACATTGGTGCTACAGTACAAACGACGAGCATGATCATGGTTTGTTAAGTCACCGAGGAACTTCAGAAATTTAGTATCAGGTTTCTCTGGGGGGTAGATTTCAGGAGATTCCTGTGATCTACTGGTAATGTTCCCCCAAATGATCAGGTAGGTCCTGGCCACCCTGGGGGGTTGAGCCACGCCTAGTCATGCGGACAGTGGCTCTGGGTCTGGCTTCTTATAGGCCATTCCCATCTGTACCGGGTCGGCCCGGGCCGGGTAGCGTAGGTTGTTTACATATCTGGGTGGCCTGGTATTTTTACGGGCCAACCAAGGCTCATTCTCAGCCCTCTTCTCGAGGGGGTCTGCTTCAGGCCGACCAGGGCCAACACACCCACTGCTGACAGCAAATTCACACCTTCCATTAGAGCAAGCCTCTGATTGGTGGGTAGAATCAGCCCACATGGGCTTAAGACAAGGATGTGTGGAATCAACCGGGCCAGGCTGGGGCCGACTGGGGCTACCCGGCCCGGGCCGACCCGGTACAGATGGGAATGGCCCATTAGAAGAAGACTTTGGTGCTGGGGTCTCATCTGCAGATTTCAGCTGTTCTTTCTGTTTAGCTAGGAACTGCTGAAACATTTCCTGGAGGTTGGCTTTGGTCAGGGACTCACCCGCGGACTCCCGTTAGGGACTTACCTGTGGGCGGCGCTCCTTAAACCTTCCATTGTTCCGACCTGCTTGCCGTTGGTTTTGGTTGGGCAACTTCTTGTCTGATTGTCCAGACCTAGGTGGCTGCCAACCAGCACCCCCCTTCCCCTGTGGAGGAGCTTGGGACTGCTTTCGCGGTTTAGCGGGTCCACGTTTAGCAGATTTTGGCTTAGTGGGTGGAGCTTCTGTGCCTTCGAGCTCCAAATGCGGCTCTGCGTCGGGAGCTAGGTGCATGACGCGTTGGTGTGCGTCAGGCTTGTGTGAATTCCTGCCTGCTTCCCAGGCCTGCTGAGCGTACCTCCTAATCTCCTGCGTTGTTAAGTTTTTTTCATTCTACAATACATTGAGACTTCGGAGCGAACACACTCGTGCAGGTTGTGAATGAAAAGGGATCTGAAGGCAGGGTCTTCCTCAAGCCCAGGGCCGTTTCGTCCTTGGAAATAAGCACTTTTGAGTCAGCAATAACACTCTCTGGGGGGTTCATTCCTCCCGTGTTTGATGGAGAAGGCCCCCATTGTAGCTGACGCAGAGTCGGCATATGTAGAGTATTCATCCCTCAACGCTCGGCAGAGCGAGGAGTACCGATCTCGAATGTCAGGTGGTAGAGTTTCCATGAAACCATGCACCGTTCTAGATGTGGTTTTCCAAATTAGCTTGAGCTTTTCCCTTGAAGAGGGTGCTGGAAGATCAAGCAGACAACGTTCTATCTCCTTAAGATAGTCGTCGATGTTGGACTCACTTATGTTAGGATCAAAGCGTTCTATGTCCTTAGCTAGTGATTCAATTTGACGTACACGGAGTCCTGACTCACGGTACGGCGCGTCATCCTCTGACTCTGACCCACGGTCTGTCTCAGAGTGCGCTGGATATCGTTGGTGTGTTCTGGGCTCCCAATGCTGATTCCTGGAGCCCAAATCGGGGTCCGGCATGCTGTGGCGGGCTGCTGGCATGTCACGTGGGTGCCTTGGGAGGTCCTCCTCCCGGGGCTCGTCTGCGTGGTGCAGCCTGCGTCTTTCAACTGGGGCTTCTGTGTAATACACTCTGTCCGGGTACGGACTGGCATAGGATGCTTTGTCATGCAGCTGGTTACCAGCATGCCGAATACCGGAGTAGCTAGGATGGGTGGATGGTTGAGGTGCAGGGGTATACTCTGCATAGCCCCAATCTGCACCTTGCACCCGTTGTGGACTGGGGGAGCGGTCTAAATAGAGGTGCCGCTCGGCTGGTCGACTTCTCACTGATTGAGAAGGCCGTGAAGATGAGGGTGGTGGTCCAACCTGGGGTCCGAGAGTGGACTGCCCTCGGCCCCTAGGTGGTCCTGAGTGCCCTGTAGAGTGTGTAGGGAACGGGGTCGAAGGTTGGGACAGATAAGCTTCATCTCTCCCCTGCGGCGTGTGTCCGTCCAGAGAGTCCCACACTACATACTGTCGATTACTGTACGGGGATGTATCAGGAGGCAGGCTATCAGGTACCTTGGAACAAGGTGGTCTACCTTTACGGCGGGACGGCTGTCCCTCGCTTCCTCTGGTGGAGGAAACCAATTGCTCTTTGCCGATTGTCCTGGGCGGACCCAAGTTGGCTTTGCCGGTTTGCTTTCGTACCGGCGTGGGGGAGGACTCTGACTCAACCTCAGAGTCGTGGTGTACCCCCCCTTCCCACTGTTTGTTCTCATCAGTGGGGGGGGGGGGGGGGGGGGTGTCTCCTCCCCATCTTCCCCAGAATCGGTTCTGGCGTCGTCGTCCTCCATCAGCCTTCCATTTCGCTGTTTTTCAGCTAGCATACTCTGGAGTGAATTTCTCTCTGATGGAGCAAAAGAACTAACTTCGCCAATGGGACCTGGATTGGTACTTTACCATCCGGGTTCTCTATTTGATACATCACAGTGTCAAGCTCCTCGCTACGCTGTTCTTCAGTGAGGCTCCTTACGGAGTAGGCGTGTTCCCGGGTGAGCCCACCCAGTTCGGACAGCATTTGTCCAGAAAGTAGGCCAGGTTCAGAGTCGTGGGCCGCAGCGCCACCTGGTTGCTGGGAGCTGATCAGGTCACTACTCTGATCCTCCATTTTAAACTACCGAACCAAAAATAGCCTAGCAGAGCTTTTCAAAGCTCAAAACCTGCACTTCGTTGCAGCAACTGCTAGCTTGTAGCAGAAACCCTAAATTTACCTCTTGGTGCACACAGGTTTTAGCATTTAAAATGCACAGAATGCCGTGAGTAACGTATAAAATACTATTCCCTTCAGTATTTTAGCAAAATGCTGTACTGGTGCATTGCCGTAGCAACGTCTTACAACACTTGCAGTGTTAAAAGTGCTATTTATTCCTTCAGAATATTAGCAAACCGTGTTATCAGTCTTTGATTGAAGGTTTTAGTTAGTTATAATAGCCACTGTGAGTTTAAGTTGCTAAATTAACGGTTGATTTTAGTCACTGTGAGTTAAAGTTGCGCAATTAGCAGTTAATTTTAACCTAAAAGGTTAGCCAGAATTACGGTCTTGCACACTGTCACTTTAAAGAAGCTCTGAGTCACTGGTGAGAGTCTGAGCAGGTTCTAGGTTGATCTAAAACAAGATAACTTCCTGTCTTGACCGGGCCAGCCAGGAGAGGGAGCCAAACACTGCTCAGTGAAATCAGCACCACCCTGTTGCTGGTTCAAGGCTGACCAGCCACAAAGAACCAAAGAATTTGTTTGTGTGTATAAAAATCAATCTGCGGTGTATCGTTGCCTCACAACGGGCTGCACCAATTATGTTGGGGTTAAAGGTCAACAAATAATTTGTAAGCTTTTACTTACCTTTTGGATTCTTCAATAAATTCGTAAATATGGAAATGTTTGCCCATTTATTAATTAATTAGGATAGCCGAAGATATCCACGGGGCACCACCCCTTCTAACAGGGGAAATGAATCCAAACCTCTTATCAATTCTGTCTGAACATTCCGTGAATCTTAACGAGCTGCTGTTGAATTTTATATTACAAACAAATCCACTTGAAGACAAAACTTAATTGAATAACATTTATTAACTAATAATCACTTCAGCTCCTTCTGAAGCATTTAGCCAATCAATATCAACCAACTTATTTTATCAAACAAATAAACAATGAAACAATGAAATGATACCGTAAAATATTTTGACCCAATGTGTGTGTGTGTGTGTGTGTGTGTGTGTGTGTGTGTGTGTGAGCTGAGATGATGTCCAAGATGGCGGCTTTGACCCAAAATGGTTGACTCCCTTTGTCTAACCACTTGCGGAATGCGTGGGAGGTAACTTTTTCTTCACCACACTGAAAACCAGGGTGTGGGAGGGGGAAAATGTGTGTGTGTGACTTTCCTTCTCAGATACAGACACAAAAGGGTTTAGCTTGCACTTTAAACTCAATCACAGTAACTTAAACACTTCAAAGGCTTAAAAAATAATAATAAACAACATAAAAGATCAATCATGAATGAATATCTGATAGTTTGTCAGCCTGGCCACAGCATAAACTAAGATATAAACAATGATTGAACAAAACGACTTACTCTAAAACGATCCGATGGCGTTTTTGGTACGGAAAAGGAAAGCCGTCTGATAATTTGAAGCAGATAGCGCGGTTGACCGCTTGTTCTGAACTATAGAGAAAACGGGAGAAGAGAGATAGAGAAGGGAGAGGAAAACAAAAACTCTTGTTCATCGAACCCGAACAAGAGGCGTCCCCCACTGTTTCAATCGGCGTTCTCCGTTGATTTGATGGTTTTCCGCTGTTTTCCAGCCAGGCCTCGTGCCTGAGTCCGGAGCCGTAGCAACAAGCATGTCCTTCACTGCCAGTTAAACTGGACAAAAGAACGATAAGTTTTGTTTTTTGCTGAGATTTATAGCTTTCAGCGTCCGGCAGGGAAACACTCCGTGTGGCTCCCGCACATGTGCAGAACGTGTTTCCGGATATTCGGCGGTGACGTCATCACATTGCTTCCGGCTCAAGGAATCATGGGAAATGAAATTGTAGCTGGCGCTGACTTTTAATACGCTCCAGGGAAATTTTGGCACAGTCTTTAGGAGAAATTACTGCATAGTAATTTTCTCATGAGGGCAGACCCTCAACATTTGTATGCTATTATTTTATATACAGATAAATTGTTTAAAGCAGACGCCACCGGTATCTAACAGCTTTAAATTGCAGTGGGTTGTGTACTACAACCATCATGTGCCTGTTATCTAGTCTGTTTCTTAAATACAGGAGGGTATAACAGTTTCTTCTTAATCTTTAAGTAATATTTTTTTGTATTCAGAATTCATGAATGAACATCTCAATGTTTGGTTAAGGTCTGAGTTTAAAAATCAAAGGAGATTTGAAAAAGAAAATCAAAAGAAGAGGTTGCTCAAGGGCTGAGTAAGGACTTGATCAACGGTAGTTGAGCAGAGGTACAAGACTAACATAAAGGTTGTAAAAAAAAACTGAATAGTACATTTGGAAGTACTGTTGTTAAATAAATCCCTCAAGCCTTTTGTGGATGCTTGTATGTCTCTTTAAATGTGTCTTTCGGCTAAATCTTTTTCCACACAGCTCACAGGCAAAAGGCTTCTCTCCTGTGTGGATTTTCATGTGTGTGTTTAAATGTGACTTTTGGGTACAACTGTATCCACAGAGCTCACATGCAAAAGGCTTCTCTCCTGTGTGGACTCTCATGTGTGTGTTTAAATGTGACTTTTGGGTACAACTGTATCCACAGAGCTCACATGCAAAAGGCTTCTCTCCTGTGTGGACTTTAATGTGATAATTTAAATGTGCCTTTTGGGTACATCTGTATCCACAGAGCTCACAGGCAAAAGGCTTATCTCCTGTGTGGAATTTCATGTGTGTGTTTAAATTATTTCTAAGGCTAAATCTTTGTCCACAGAGCTCACATGCAAAAGGCTTCTCTCTTGTATGGACTTTCCTGTGATCATTTAAATATGACTTTTTGGTACATCTGTATCCACAGAGCTCACATGCAAAAGGCTTCTCTCCTGTGTGGATTTTCATGTGATCGTTTAAATGTGACTTTTTCGTAAGTCTGTATCCACAGAGCTCACAGGCAAAAGGCTTCTCTCCTGTATGGACTCTCATGTGTGTGTTTAAATTGTTTTTCTGTCTAAATCTTTGTCCACAGAGCTCACATGCAAAAGGCTTCTCTCCTGTGTGGACTTTCATGTGATCGTTTAAATGTGCCTTTTGGGTACATCTGTATCCACAGAGCTCACAGGCAAAAGGCTTCTCTCCTGTGTGGACTCTTGTGTGTGTGTTTAAACTATTTTTAAGGCTAAATCTTTTCTCACAGAACTCACATGCAAAAGGCTTCTGTCCTGTGTGGACTCTCATGTGTGTGTTTAAATTTCCCTTATGGGTACATCTGTATCCACAGAGCTCACAGGCAAAAGGCTTCACCCCGGTGTGGCCTTTCATATGATGGGTTAAACTGGACTTTAGGCTAAATCTTTTCCCACAGTCATCACAACTAAATGATTTTGATTCTTTCTGGACCTTTCCGCATGAGCCTCCATGTTGCTTCTCTTTCACACATTTTGTATAAACCCAACACTCTGAAGACTTTACTGCTGAATGACTTGTCACTCTCACATGTTCCTGAAGAGACCACTTGTGGAGGAACCGTATACCACACACAGGGCAGCTAAATGATTTGTTGACGGTCTTAATATCTGACTCTGAAGACTTGTTCTCATTACAGCCCTGGTCTCCGTTTCCAGGTTCAGGCCCAGAGTCTGAATGCTCAGAGTCTAGATTCACATCGTCATCATCTTCTCCACTAACTTCAATCTCTGAAGAATCTGATGTCTTTTCATTAGGGTCCAGATCTAGGTTCTTGCTAGTTTCTGCTCCTCCACCAACTTTTACTGTCATCTGCCCAGCCAAGCTGCTGGTTGGGACACCTCCGTCTTTCATTTGATGGTTGTGGAAATGTAAGAGCAGAGGTTTCTCATCCGTCTCTTCTCTCTTCCTTGAAACTGCAGTGAACCAAGCAGAAATATGTAAAAGAAAAATATTCAGTAAAATGACAAAAGACCTAGGGCTGTTTTTGCAATCAGTAATATACATAACCAATGTTGGTAAACACATTACTATTTATGGAAATGCAGTACTTTAACAAATAACTATGAATCTAATGAGTTGCTTTTAAGTCCAGACATCACTATGCCATTGGTAGAAGGAAAAAACGCTATCTGCAAATTCTGATTAACGCCTCTCAGAGCCGCTCAAACCAGCCGTCTGTCGCTGCTACTGTGGAGCCTAGAGATACCCTGACAGCAGCATTGCGTCGGCCCCTCCCTTCCTTTCCCTAACACTGTAGGCGCGCAGCAGCAAAAATGTAAACAAATATATCTGCCGAACCTTTACTCCGTGAGAGTGCTGTAAAGTTTGTATCCTACAATGAAATCACGGCATGGAGGAAGCTCGTTAAAATGAGTCAAAACTGGGTGGAAAGAGGTGAGATTGTAAGGCTCGCTGCAGAAATAAAAACACTGAGCATCAACACTCGTCTGTAACACATAAAATAATAATGAGCATCATGCTGCTAGATCAGCAGCTTGTGATGACAGTTAGTTCTGCTCACTGGGTCAGTTGATGGGACATATGACACTAGAATTCCAGATAAAGAGCTAGGAGCAAGGTCATTTAAACATTTGTAGGCCAGAACCAAAATCTTAAATTCAACACAGAACTGAACTGGGATCCAATGCAGAGAGGCAACAACTGGAGTGGTATGATCAAATCGACCAGTGCCAGTCTAAAGACGGGCTGCAGATTTTGAACTAGCTGCAGCCTAGCAATACATCCATGATCAACACCCAAGTAAAGACTATAGCAGTAGTCTAAACAAAATGCATTAAATGCATGAATACACTTCTCAAAACGATTCCTCATCAAAAAGACTTATAAAGACTCTTTAGATGAAAAAAACATACTTGAACCACATTATTGACTTGAACATCAAATTTAAGCTGAGAATCATTCTTAACACCCAAATTAGACACAACATCCTTTGCATCATATGAGACTGAGTAACTACATGAGCACCACTTGGTGCAAACATAATCAACTCAGTCTTAGACTCATTAATCTGGAGAAAATTACAACCCTTCCACAATTAACCTCACGAAGACAACTCAGAGCTAAATCCTTAGCTTTAACAGGAGCATAGACCTGACAGTCATCAGCATAAAGAAGAAAGTCAAGCTCATATTTCCTAAAGATGGCCCCAAGAGGGAGCAAATATAAATTGAAAAGTAGAGGACCAAGTACAGAGTCCTGTGGAACCCCATATTTTAGGGGAGCATCACTTGAGCAGAAACTACCAATCTTAACAGTCACATACCTGTCAGCCAGGTAGGAACTCATCCAGAAGAGCGCTGAACCAGAGACCAAAAAAATTCTCCAGTCGATTGAGAAGTATAACATGATCAAGAGTATCAAAAGCAGCGGTCAGATCTAAGAGTAATAAAAAGACTGTCACCCACATCAGTATATTGGTAAATATCATTGAACACTCTCACAAGCGTTGTTTCAGTACTATGCTTTGCTCTAAAAGCTTATTGAAAAGCTTCTTAAATTTGTTTAGGGCTGCAGCTATCGAATATTTTTGTAATTGAGTACTCTATCGAATCTTTTATCGATTAATCGAGTACTCTAATAAATTACTCTTTTGCGTTTTTAAACCATTATATCAAATAGTCTAAGGAGCTTTGAAAGAAAAGCGTCTGGACTTCTTTGAGTTGGTTGAAGACGTTTCACCTCTCATCCGAGAGGCTTCTGCAGTTCTAAGGTCAAATGGTGGGGAGTCCCAGATTTAAACCCAGTGGGAGTTTCCCCCCGAAGAGGGAACAAAAGACCCCCTGATGATCTTCTATGAGCCAAGGTTTGAGGGTGGGTGTGGGTCCTATTCAGCCAGAGTTTCGGGTGAGCTCATTGTGAAGCCTGGCCCCACCCTATCATGTGAATTCCTGAGATCAGATGGCCCAGGATATGCGTGGGCATTGAGGCATCTGGGAAGGGATCTCAAAACTGGATTATAGATGGCAGACAGTTGGTGTCGTAAACCACCGCCTCTGTTCAAAGATGGTTGCTCACAGTGGACATAAATGGCTTCCTTTACTCCTCTTTCAAACCATCTGTCCTCTCTGTCCAAAATGTGAACGTTGGCATCCTCGAAAGAGTGACCTTTGTCCTTTAAATGCAAATGGACTGCTGAGTCCTGTCCCGTGGAGGTGGAAAGAAATGCTCTTGGCTATTTTAAAGGGAGAGCACCCAGCCACTGGTACAGATATGTGGATGACACGTGGGTCAAAATCAAAACACAAGAAGTGGAATCCTTCACTACGCACATCAACGCCATGGACAAAAACATCAAGTTCACCAGGGAAAACATAAAGGAAAACTGCTTGCCTTTCCTGGACTGCGCTGTGCACTTTGAAGAAAATGGCAACCTCAACATTGAAGTGTACCGGAACCCCACACACACGGACCAGTACCTCCTCTTTGACTCACATCACCCTCTGGAACACAAACTTGGAGTAATCAAGATCTTACACCACCGGGCAGAACATTGTTCAAAACTCAGATCGTAATCGTGATTAAAATTCGATTAATTGAGCAGCCCTAGCTGTGAGTAGAAGGCTGTAAGTTATGGTCAGAAATAAACACACTGATGGTCTTTCTTTAGTTTCTCTTTTGAAAACGTTTTAGTCTAAACAAAGGTGATGTTATTGTTCATAGAATTAAAATTCAAGTCCAAGTAGGACCTGTGGTTAGTTGGCTCATTTGAAAAATGTAATGTTTTTGACCTTGAAAGAATCAGGAATCATTAGGAAATGGAATCGAAACAGGGGAATCGTTCAAATTCAAACGATGCCCAACCCAACTTTTTGTCTGAAGTGATTAACGTAACTGCAGTAAACGTTGACAGATAAAAATAGATTGTGACCGGACTTTTTTAGACCCTGCTGGGGTCACTCAGTGACGCACCCGTTGACAACCCAACTCTGGTAATTGGCAGCTCCATAGTCAAAAACGTGGCAGAGACTCCAGCAACCATAGTCAAATGTTTACCTGGGGCCAGAGTGGGCGACATTAAATCCTACCTGAAACTGCTGGCTAAGGATAAGCGTAAATACAGTAAGACTGCTAATTACGCTGGTGGTAACATACCTGCAAACTCGGGGTGTGGAAAAAGGTGACAACTACAATGCCCCCCTCCCGTCTGTGGGGTTTGTAGTGACCTGCTCTGGCATTTACATACTTCTTGATGTAATAATTAAAATAAACTCATCAACATGATTTTTTGCTAAATGCAAACTATTTTCTACCATGACGTTTAGACAGTCTCTGCTCAGAAAAACGAAAAACTATGCCCGACAAAAATGATTAGGGATCATCACATATTTTTAAACATTTTATGAGACTAATTCACACTCATTTTACAGCCCCCTGTAGGGCTGCACGATATTAGGAAAACCTGCGATATTCGATAACAGTGCTTAATATTGCGATATCGATATTACTCGCGATAAATGAACAAATACAAAAGTATGCAGTGTTGATGTCGTCTGGCGTGTCATGTCTGCTCTGGGTTCAAAGCAAACAAAAACCAATGTATGAATTCCATTACAACATAACATTTTTATTGAAAAAATATGCAGCTGCACCTGCTACTGTATTAGCAGCAGAACAGCAAACTGCATGCATGCAGTTTCTCAGTGACTTTAAAACATCACCTCCACCACAAAACTTTTTCTGATGCTCCAAATACAGAAAAACATCCCTTATCAGGGTTTTTTGAATAAATAAAAAAATCTGAAAGTAAGTTTAAATGTTAAATAATAGTTAACATCACTTAAACGCAACAGCAAATTCTCTCATTGCTACTGAACATTTTCTCCACTTATGTGTTTATGATATAAGGCTGTTGCAGCTATTGGGAAGTGATCTGTGCTGGGCCAAACTAGGAGAAAATTTAAGATTTTCTGAGGGAAAGAGAAAAACAATTGTCTACCTTTCAGATGAGGAACTGGCAAAAAACTACATGGAAAATATGTGAAAACGTTTGGTTTTAACCCCAAATTGAACAAGTTTACCTAGATCTTAAAAAGCAGCTCAGATGATGAAACTGCAACTATGATTCTGATAACAAGCTAACAAATTGAACTAGCTCCTCTAAGATAACCGGCTAGCAGAGCTTCTGACTGACCGTTTATGTGCAGCAGCAAATCAACTATCCTGATTAACAAGGTTATAAAAGCTCATAAATGAAAAATCACTTTGATGTGTGGGGGAACTTTTCCAGGCCCTCTTTAGCAGGGTGGGACTGGGAGGAGAGTGCTGTAGCCTTTTAGCTGGAAGCTAACCGGAGCCTGGGGCTAACATCACACCCCGGTGGAACACTAGCGACATGGAGGTGGGTTGGTTCACTGGCACGTGTCGGAGTCAGCCCGGTAAAAATGATTAACGACACCGAGCGGACTCACGTTCACGTTTGAAAGCAGCGCTGATTCCAGAAACCTCAGCACAAAGTGCGTTCGTTGCTCTGAGCCAGCATGACGAACAAGGGAACGGCGCTGCTAACTCAGTTTGGGTGTTGCTTTCCATCCTAAAGGTCTACGTAGGGGGCGGGCGTATTACGTGAATGGACCCATCTGATTGGCCGCATATCAGAAGGGCTACATTTGATTGGTCAAATAATACTTCCGCGTAAAAAACAGCTGGTTTACAAAAAGCTGATGTATGACACGGATAGAAATGGTGAACCAAACATTTATTGCCGTTTTTGACGTGCTTTGCGATGGGCCTATCGCACGTCCTGTTATCCCGATGACGATAATTTTTCGATATATTGTGCAGCCCTAGCCCCCTGTATTTGGGTTGATGAGTTTATCTCCCTCTGTTCATCCTGTGAGGTGAACCCCATGATCCAGCTAAATTCCCCCACCAGAGGGAGCCATTATCTGGAACCCTTTGGCCTGCTGCTGCTCCCCACAGGGCAGCTGGTGCACATCAGCTGATTAAGAGGTCTGCACAAACAGTTGAAAAGCCAGACTGAGAGGAGCTGGAGAGAGAAGCGCAGTGAATCGAGAGGTTTTGAAGCTGAGTAAAGAAGGAGCTGGAGAGAGGAGCTGGCATATAGAGGAATCGGTTGCGGCTGAACTGCTGAGCTGGAGAGCTGTGACTGATACCAGACTGAGAGGTGCCGAGAGGGAAAAGCTGCTTTTCTGGTTGGAACAAGTTTCCTAGGATCCCTGAGCTGACATCCAGAGCATTCTCCAAGTGGTTGGGTTCTACACCCTATTGGCTGGAGTCAGAGCGAGTGAAGAGTACCACTAAGCTTATTTTATCAAGAAGTTGATTAATAGACCGTCATCACTAACGTCCCTCCACCAGTCACATTTTGGTTTAAAGCTCCTTTTGTAAATAATCCTCCGTAGTCTCCTTGAGTGTTAATACTCTTGAATATTCCTCCTTAGACCCCTTTGATTGTGTTTTACTCATTTGTCGACTTCCTTTGTTGGTCCTAGAGCCTTTGTATTAATGATAAATTAATATTTGTTGAGTGCCCACTCACTTTTTGTATTTTGAGTTCACTGGCTTTGGTTGGGAGTATGGCCTTAGAGATTCAGGCTGCAACGCCCTTTGTGTGTTATCAAACCACCTTAGTGGTTTTACTCCCAAATAGGGTTAAATATACTTTCCGATAATTGTTGAAAAAAGACAGATTTCTTTCCCTGAGTGGATATTATTATTTGAGATAGTGGATTAAATCCTCTCACTTTGTGTTTTGTCATTGCCCCTACAGGCCTGTTGGAGCATCCCACCTGTAGGCGCAGAGTCCAGGAGTTCCAAATAAAGTTTATTTTCATCATTTTAAGATCATCACGTCTTGGTTATGTTGCGGGTCCACCACTCCTAGTGAGTCTTGCTCAGGGCCCGTAACACTCAGAACAGCAAACATGGAAACATCTGAAAATATTCCAATATTCCCAAATACTGTAACCATCCCAAAAAGGTTTTTTCCCCCTCTCTTTTTTTCATTTATTGACATTAAAATAAAAATACAGAACTAAATTGCTAAAAGCCAAAATGAAAAAGGGGACAGAAAGAAGAAAAACTTATGTTATCTGCCCCTTTTAACTAAAATAACATTAATACAAATGAAACAATCATATGATTCTTAAAAAATTTGAAGAATATACTTTCTGGACTGGTTGGCCGACACAACCTCAACCCATGAATTGAAATAAGAATGAAAACAAGTTACACAGAAAGAAGCATAAAGTTATAGACCTATATACATACATATATACACGTATGCATACATAGACTTGTTTCCTTTTCCCCCTTTTTTTCATCCCCCCAACCCCCTCCCCTCATGCATTTTTGTAACAGATCTATGTAAGTTAATCATTTCATTTTTATCTCTTTTTTGAAAGTCAATATTGTTTTTGCATTCTTGATTTCAGTATTTAATTTATTCCACAATTAAACTCCATAAATGGACACACAATGTTCCTTTATGAGTATCCGATGTCTAGGTATATTAAATAATTCATGTCCTTTTAAATCATATTTAAATCATATTACTACTAAAGTTACTATGTTAGATTCTCTCAGCTGATCCTGATGACCAGCAGCATAAAAGTCAGCCAGCCCTCAGTTCAGGGAGCAGCAGGCTAGGGAGGTTCTCTCTGGTCTGTTGTCTCCTCAGCAGCTGTTGTTTTTGTTTTGTTAAGATTTATGTAACAACTTTGAGAGCTTAACTCTCTGTGTTTAACCGTCCGCCTTTTAGGGGTAAAGGACACTTTACCCCTTCGCTTGCTTTTATAAGACATCACTCAGTAAAAGGGAAATCGTGATGGTCTTTCGTGGTTCTTGTATTAATTTGGTTAATATGAGAGTTTAGTTGTTACTCGTTTTGCATTGCTGCTGATGTGTCTTGTTAATCTGTGTGAGTTTATATTTATGTAAATAAATGTCGTTTTGTTACTTTTACCATGAGAACATGCGTCCTCAATTGTTACCCCAGGCCCCCTAGACAGCCTGGATCGTAACAAATCACAAAATGTTGAATTTAATTGGGCGACGGTGGCACAGGAGTTAAGTGCTCGCCTCGTAATCGGAAGGTTGCAGGTTCGAGCCCCACTCAGTCTGTCGCTGTCGTTGTGTCCTTGGGCAAGACACTTAACCCACGTTGCCTGCTGGTGGTGGTCGGAGGGACCAGTGGCGTCAGTGCTCGGCAGCCTCACCTCTGTCAGTGCGCCCCAGGGCAGCTGTGGCTACATTGTAGCTCATCCCCACCAGTGTGTGAATGTGTGTGTGAATGGGTGAATGACTGTGTTGTAAAGCGCCTTGGGGGGTTCCAGGACTCTGATAGGCACTATATCAGATACAGGCCATTTACCATTTATGTCTTCTTGTCAATCTTTTGATTAAACCTGCAGGTAAGTTCCTTTTGTTTGCATTATACATAAATTTTAAAATATTGTAGTCCACCAGATCATTGAATTTTAGTGTTTTTAAATTTATAAATAATGGGTTGGACGGATCTCTGTAGTTGCTCGTTGTGATTATTCTTATTGCTTTTTTTTGTAAGATGTAGATCGAATTTGTGTAAGTTTTATATGTTGTTCCCCAGATTTCAATGCAGTAGTTCAGGTACGGTATGAGCAGTGAGTTATATAACAAATATAGTGAATTATTATAAAGTAACCATTTTGCTCTATGTAACAGTGCAATAGTTTTAGATATTTTAGTTTTGACACTGTTTATATGCAGTTTCCAAGACATTTTTTCATCAATGATGACTCCCAGATACTTAACTTCTTTAACTCTTAATATTAATCTCATCTATATTTAATAAAATGTCATCATTTGAATATGTATTACTAAATATCATAAAACATGATTTATCACTGTTTAATGATAGTTTGTTCCCATCAAACCATAGTTTAACTTTTTTCATCTGTTTGTATCACTTCTATCATCTGCTCAACATTATCTCCTGAACAATAAAAAGTTGTATCATCTGCAAATAAGGTGCATTTTAATATATTGGATACCTCAACAATGCCATTTATATAAATGATAAATAGTTTCGGGCCCAATACTGACCCTTGTGGTACACCACAAGTAATGTTATTTATATGTGATTTTGTGTTTATTTGAACATACTGTATTGCTACCTATCGGTAAGATAACTTATTATCCATTTTTGGGCCATCCCTGCGATGCCATATTTACTAAGTTTTTTAATAAGAATTTTATGATCCACTGTATCAAATGCTTTTTTTAAATCAATAAAGAAACTTATGAGATGAGTTTTTTTTTGTCAATAGCTTCTGATATTTCTTCTGTTAATTCCATTAATGCCATGGATGTTGAATGATTTGATCTAAAACCATACTGTCATTTAATATCTCTTGTTGTGATTAAATGTTTAGAAAGAGCTGCAGCTGCAGATAAATGTAGCTTTATCTCAGCTTGAATACTTTAATTAACCACTGCTAAGGGCAAATAGCTGATCTGACTCTTTAATGCAGCAGAAATGTTGTTATGAAATTATCTCATCACATGTTTCTCCTCCAGTGTCCTTCAATTTTCTGGTGTCCAGATCCATTCACTGGGGTTTGTTTTACTGGGGTTTGAGTAAGGCTGTAGCATACTGGGGGCCATTTCTTACCAGAAATAGTATTTATGTTACTAATATTACTGGTGATGTTTACTCCTGTATTCATTTAGACAAAAAATAATTTTTTAAAGAGGAAAAAAAAAAGAAGACTTGCAGCACAATTAGTGTGTTTGTTTTTGACCACAACTTCTAAGCCTGCTCACAACCCAAGGTTTAGAGCTGAAAACGTCTCTTGGATGAGAGTTAATAACCAGAAACATCCAGGTGTTCTCTTAGGTTGATGGTGTCCAGGATGACTAAGAATCTACTAGGGCTGTAGCGAAGCCTCGATGACGTCGACAGCTCGATTCTAAAAATTCGTCGTCAGATCCGGAAGTCGATGCACCACTCCCACTTGTTGCATCCCCGGGAGTTTGTAAATAGAGGAGGAATCTGTCTGTTTTTCCTCTAGTTCGCCCTCTTCTCCGCCTTCACTAACATCTCCACCAAATACCGAAGATCCGGAACAATGTCCGTCCGCTACCAGAATCCTTTCCTGTTTTGTCCGCCTTCGTCTCCCGGCAACGGACAACAACTTCCGGGGTCAGATGCGCTGCTCCATCTCTAGCGCAGATGTAGAACATCACCGGGAGCGTTTTTCCCTTCATGAAGGAGCTTCTTTCAGACATTAGGAGAGCTGTTTTGGTGGTAGCAGTCTCTCCTCCGTGCTGGTCTGTTTGCTGCTGGGTATTTTTGGTTTATTTAAACGTATCTTGAATTTAACGTAGGTAAAGCTACTGTTAGCATTTTCGCTAACAGCTTCTTGCGTTAGGATAAGCTGTTACGTTTTGGTTTAGAGTTCATCTTTTTGTGGTGTAGATCTCCCTTGTATTACATTTAGAGTGTTGTGGGTTTTTGGTTTAGTTTAAAATATCACCTTGAGTTTGGTTTAACCACCCAGTTTAGAGTTTGGACCTTTGGAGATCCTTATTTTGGTCCAGAACCCAGTAATCTTTGCCCAGTGGGACATTCCTAGTTATTTGTACTATTGTTTTAATTCCCCACAGGCAGAATTAGTTTTATTATTCCCAACCTGTGGATGGAAAGATTATGTTTTTTTGTAGTTGTAAATAAACCTGATCATCATTTTAACTTTTAAATCCCGTTATTGTCCCTTCCTTTTTGCACACGAGCCAAACTCCCCAGGAGGAGTAGTAACACCACTCGCCTCACGCACATAAGTGACCAAAACAAAGCAGCATGAAGACACTCCGTCTCCAACCACCTCTCAGGCAGCAACCTGCACTCCCAAGTTCTACACTTCACCAGAACTTAACCAACCGTAACACAATAAAAGCAGTGTTATACAAAATGGAAGGCCTGTGGTGTATATTCTCTTACAGTAACAATTTATCACTTTTTTTGAGGAATTTATTAGAGATTTTTTTGGTTTTTAACTGCAATAGAAAAATAATCACTAGATTAATTGTCTAAATAGTCATTAGAATAGTCGACTATTCGATAAAATAATCGTCAGAATAATCGTTTTAAAAACAATCGTTTACCCCCAGCCCTAGAATCTACATCTACATGCTGAAGCACGACGCATCACAAAGGTCAAAAGGAAAACTGAAACACTTAAATGTAGCTGCAATCAGTAACAATCTAACAGATTTAAACTATTACAAGCTCTAAACACTCTAAATATTTCAGGAAAGCAAAAAACAAACAAAAAAAAAAATCACAACTTTGTGTTGTGAGATTTATTATCATTAACATTATTATTATTACATGACAACGTAACCTGCGCCCACCTCGGCTGAAGACCCCCTGGATGCAACTACGACAGGACACAGCGAAGAAGAGACGCTGGAAAAGGAGAACTACTTTAATCACCTGCACCCAATCTCCAACCTGGTTTCACGGTCAAAGGATCAGAAGGACTTTTCGGGGACAAGATCAGCTCCCTGACAGGTGGACAACCACCTCAACACGCCATGGAAGGACCCAGACGTCTCCCTACTGAGAAGTTGAACTGTGCGCTCTCACATCCCAAACTCCATTCTTGCATTCCAGACCTGGACTTCAAGGAACTCATCAACTTAAGACTGAAACCATCCTGATCAACGGACGAGGACTCTAACCGTTCCAAACCGTTCAACCGGGACTCTCAGTCCATGGACAAGCCCTTTGATGAAGAACGCCTGGTTTGCCTCAGCTTCTGCCATAGTTAGAGCTGCATGAATTGATACTACCTGTTCCTCATTCACAGAAACAGCCGTGTGCGACCTATAGCTTTAAATTCATCTGATGTTTCAATAAACTCTACTGATGTTTTCTGTGTATTATATGGTCTTGCTAATCCTTCCCAATCCAAATTTTATTTGTTCTTTATTTTGTTATTTTCATTTTGTTTGGTTATCCTATTCGGATAAACAGGAGGGATTATGTTATGGAAATGTTATGTTTATTATTAACTTAATGTATTTTTCTATGCCTGAAAACACACACACACACACACACACACACACACACACACACACACACACACACACACACACACTTATCTTTGTTATAAATGAACTCTGAGAGCAGAAACTCGGGGCAGTTGCCTTGAGCTTCTGCCCCTGATTGCACTTTGGTGACTTGTCTGCTTGTTGTCTCTCCTCTCTCTCCAGCTGCAGGTATTGGGTTATTGATAAAATCCCTAACAGTCATGTAATCATTAGTTTAGAAATATAGAATTAAACTAATTTTTATAAACTATATTCTTGACTCTGTCTGAATTAATATGAAGTGTGTGTTCCTAAGGTCGTATTAAATCAAATATTCAAAGACCAATAAGATTGATCATTTATAATTAGATGGAATATCACATCTTATTGATCATTCAGTAAAAGTAACCACTTCCATCACGTTACACCATCAGCATGGCTCTACACTTCATCCTGCAGCATCTGGACTCCTGGGTACCTACACCAGGATCCTGCCAGAAGCAGAAACAGCTGGAGTTAGCAGGTCAGATCCACGGTGTGTAAAGTCCACTCATGGAGGGAACAGGAAGGGAAACCACTGAAGAACCAGGATAAACAGACCCGAGGAAACATGGACGGAGACACAGCGCTGCCCCGTGGCCAGGCGGGAATGTGGAAACGGACCTGTGGCTATTCCAAACACAGGCGCCATCTTGTTAGTGGCCAGAAGCAGAGTATGGGTGGGATGAGGCTGGCCCATACTCTGGAACAGCAGCTGCTATGTGTGGACTCTCATGTGATTTGTTTATTTACATTTGTAGTAAACCTTTCTCCACACTCATCATGACTAAATGATTTAGGTTTCTTCTGGACTTTCCTGCACGAGTCTACATGTTGCTTCACTCTAACACATTTCTTATGAACCAAACAGCCTGAAGACCTTATTGCTGGATGACTTGTCTCCCTCACGTGTCTCTGGAGAGACCACTTGTGAAGAACTTGTTGACAGACTTACCATCTGACTCAGAAGACCTGCTCTCATTCCAGTCATCATCTTCATCTCCAGTTTCAGACCCAGAGTCTGACAGCTCAGAGTCCAGATTCACACCATCATCATCATCTTCTTCATCATCATCTTCATCCTCTCCGCTAACTTCAGTCTCTGAAGAATCAGATGTTTGTTCATGAGGGTTCAGATCTGGGTTCCTGCTAGTTCCTGCTCCTCCACCAGTTTCTGCTGCCATCTGGTCAGCTGAGCTGCTGGTTGGAACGTCTCTGTCTTCTATTTGCTGCTGATGAAGCTGTGAGACCAGAGGTTTCTCTTCATCATCCTCACTCTTTATAGAAACAGCAGTAACAGGAAACCCGACAGCTTCAGTCTCCTCCTTCAAACAGAGATGCTCTCCCTCCAGACTGGTCCAGAGCTCCTCCTGTTCCTCCTTTATGTGGAGGTGTTCTGGGTCCTGCTGGTCCACACCAGCACTCTGTTCTTCAGGAGCTTCTTCTTTAACCAGCACCAGCTGTGGAACATCTGTAGGAAACACAGACACATGATGTTACAGACCACCATACCTTTATATTTACACCATGAGTGATACTGGCTACATGATGTGGGAAAAAGGAACAAGAACATGAACTTCATTTAGATAAAACAGATTTCTACTTTAGGAACAATAAAAACTTCCATCACAATCAGCGTGTTTGTTTCTGACCAGAACTTCTAAGCCTCCTACTCACAACCCAAGCTTTAGATCTGAAGCTGATGTGAGGAGAAACGTCTCCAAGATAAAATCAGCAACTATTCAGTCAAAAGGAAAATGAATAAACACTTAGATGTAGCTGCTGTCAGTAACAATCTTTCACTTTTAAGCTCTCAGCAGGCTAGAGCACTGCAAAGCAAAGGAATCTTACTAATTAGCATTTTGGGAGATTTAATGTTGTTACATATATATATATACATATACAGTGGGGCAAAAAAGTATTTAGTCAGCCACCGATTGTGCAAGTTCTCCCTCTTAAAATGATGACAGAAGTCAGTAATTTACATCATAGGTACACTTCAACTGTGAGAGACAGATTGTGAAAAATAATCCATGAATTCACATGGCATGATTTTTTTTTTACCGTGTCCTGTCTGGCTGTGAAGCAAGCAGAATTGATGTCTGAATGCTGGTGACAAGCCTTACAGATTTACTCTCAGGTGGAGCATCAAAGCGTCTGCTTTTAATGTCACGCCTGATACTTAAAACTTTATTGTTATTGTTGTTGAATGCTTTGTAATTACGACCAGACACGGAGACAGAGGTGAAAGAGAAAGGAAAAGAAAAGGTGGGGGGAGAGAGAGAGAGAGAGGGGGGGGGTTCCCACAAAAGTAAACAATGAACAAGAGTCTGCTTCTAGACCTGCAGAAAAAAAACAATAAAAAGCAAAAAGACAAAAAAAAAGGGACACAACAACAATACAACAAGATCTAGCTATCACTGCATCGACTTGATGAAAGAATATATAATCAACATTGCTTAACTGAAGAATCACGATAATAAATCACAGTGCATTAAGTGCCCACCATAGTCTTAAGACCTGTGTTTAACGTGCCCAAACCCATACTTTTGAGAGCACCATGTGAGCACCTGTGTGTGTACACGCCCTTGTTTAAGTAAGGCTTCTCTATAGGAGCATCCAATAGAGAGTGTGAGGGACCACAGATCTGCCCCCCCAAAGATGCACAGGGGACGGGGGGAGCTCCAAGTCCCAGAGTTCCAGGCGCTGCCCCAGACCACAGGAACCCCAAGGAGACTGCAACCAGAAAGGCCCCCGCCCCCCTAGAGAGGCACAGAGGATCGCCCCGGGGGGCCACAACCAGCAGCCCGCAGAGTCCCGGGAGATATCAGCGGCAAGCCCACAGGCCCGCCCGCAGCCTCCCACCCCCTAGCCGGCCGAGCCCGGGACCCAGCGACCCGGGACCCAGGGGCGACCACCCCCGCCGGGGACCCAGCAGAGCCCAGGGACCCAGACCCCACCAGGCAGCCACCGGGATCTATCAGGCAGATGCCAAAATCTTGAACCCCCAGACCCGGTTGCCACGAACACTCAGGCTGATGGCAGGATTTTTAAAGAATTTATTTGTAAATCAGGGAGGAAAATAAGTATTTGGTCACTTCAAACAAGGAAAATCTCTGGCTCTCACAGACCTGTAACGTCTTCTTTAAGAAGCTTTTCTGTCCTCCACTCGTTGCCTGTATTAATGGCACCTGTTTGAACACATTATCTGTATAAAAGACACCTGTCCACAGCCTCAAACAGTCAGACTCCAAACTCCACTATGGCCAAGACCAAAGAGCTTTCGAAGGACACCAGGAAAAGAATTGTAGACCTGCACCAGACTGGGAAGAGTGAATCTACAATAGGCAAGCAGCTTGGTGTGAAAAAATCAACTGTGGGAGCAATTATCAGAAAATGGAAGACATACAAGACCACTGATAATCTCCCTTGATCTGGGGCTCCACGCAAGATCTCATCCCGTGGGGTCAAAATGATCATGAGAACGGTGAGCAAGAATCCCAGAACCACACGGGGGGACCTGATGAATGACCTGCAGAGAGTTGGGACCACAGTAACAAAGGTCACCATCAGTAACACACTACAACGGCAGGGAATCAAATCCTGCAGTGCCAGACGTGTTCCGCTGCTGAAGCCAGTGCATGTCCAGGCCCGTCTGAAGTTTGCCAGAGAGCACATGGATGATACAGCAGAGGATTGGGAGAATGTCATGTGGTCAGATGAAACCAAAGTAGAACTTTTTGGTATAAACTCAACTCGTCGTGTTTGGAGGAAGAAGAATACTGAGTTGCATCCCAAGAACACCATACCTACTGTGAAGCATGGGGGTGGGAACATCATGCTTTGGGGCTGTTTTTCTGCTAAGGCAGGGATTCCCAAAGTGTGGTGCGCGCACCCCTGGGGGTGCGCAAGGTTAAAAGTGTAATGGCTGCGGAGCTCAGAGAAGTCTGTCATGTCACCATTAGCGTAGAAACTCATTTATGGGTGGGCCAAAGAAAAAGTAAGTGGGCCCAATAAATGTAATTGAAAACAAGTATATTTTTGCGCGCGCGCGTGTCCTCCGCATGTGCCCTAGCTTCATAATAACAATGCGCCGAGCTTCAGCACTCTGGCCTGCGCACGCCGATATGTTCCGTATTTGATAATTTTTAACGGTGTTGGAGGAATCTGAAGGTGGCGAGTCATTCTGGCAGATTTAAGACCCTGTCTCAGGCAGGTGTTCTGACATTGTAAACCTCACACACAGAACATTGTGGATGTAACTAAATAACAAGAAATGATTCCCATTCAGGCTATTAACAGCGCGCTGAAGATCTGAAGTTCAGAGTGCGTCTGTCAGAGGTCAGACGCGTTCCAGCGGAACCACGGCTCACGGGTTCACATGTGAGCACATCTGGGCTGGGCAGAAGTAATTTTACAACATTGGTTTAAATAGCGCCAATAACGAGACGTGGTGTCTTGAGCGGCTGTGCCGCGCGCACACACACACACAGATTCAATAAGCGCGCACGCTGCTTTAACTCCGGCGCGCCGTCAGACTGAAGGCAGAAATGAACGCTGCCTCCACCGTGATAAAAACTTTTAAGAGGTTATTTTCCATTCAAGGTCAAATTAAGATATTAGCTTCTGGGATGAGTGGGTCCGCTCCAGCCAGTGACTCCTCATGAACCTGACCACATCTCATGTTACTGCAGCATGTGTTATTCCAGTCAGCGTGGCAGCGGATCGCAGATTCAGCCTCACCATAAAACAGCAATAAGTCGGTCTGAGGCAAAAGTGAACATCATGGCTATATCTTGTCCCCTATAGACATTTGATTACGCACAAGTAGGTGATCAGCTCAGGTTTACGCAGAGCAAAAAGAAGGAGAGCGCTCTGGCCGCACAGGTTAAACATTCCTACTTTAAGAAAACCGTTAAATTGCATTGTTTATGTGCTACCTGGGCACTCTAAATATTTATTTAAAATGAAATCAAAGGAAATTGTAATGGTATCGAATGTTTATTAATTACTATTTAAAAAATGAAAGTGATGGGGAATTTTTTTAACCCTGTCTGTTTAGCTTGACATCTGATATATATATATATATATATATAGAGCCATGCCCTGATGTGGGGGCTGGGGGGGCGCGTCGACATGGTCGGGACATAGAAGGGGGTGCGCGGCTAAATAAGTTTGGGAACCACTGTGCTAAGGGGACGGGACGACTGATCCGTGTTAAGGACAGAATGAATGGGGCCATGTATCGTGAGATTTTGAGCCAAAACCTCCTTCCATCAGTGAGAGCTTTGAAGATGAAACGTGGCTGGGTCTTCCAACACGACAATGACCCCAAACACACCGCCCGGGCAACAAAGGAGTGGCTCCGTAAGAAGCATTTGAAAGTCCTGGAGTGGCCTAGCCAGTCTCCAGACCTCAGCCCCATAGAAAATCTGTGGAGGGAGTTGAAAGTCCGTGTTGCTCGGCGACAGCCCCAAAACATCACTGCTCTCGAGAAGATCTGCATGGAGGAATGGGCCAAAATACCAGCTACTGTGTGTGCAAACCTGGTAAAGACCTATAGTAATCGTTTGACCTCTGTTATTGCCAACAAAGGTTATGTTACAAAGTATTGAGTTGAATTTTTGTTATTGACCAAATACTTATTTTCCGCCCTGATTTACAAATAAATTCTTTAAAAATCCTGCCATGTGAATTCATGGATTTTTTTTTCACATTCTGTCTCTCACAGTTGAAGTGTACCTATGATGTAAATTACTGACCTCTGTCATCATTTTAAGTGGGAGAACTTGCACAATCGGTGGCTGACTAAATACTTTTTTTCCCCACTCTGTGTGTGTGTGTGTGTGTGCATATATATATATATATATATATATATATATATATATATATATATATATATATATATATATATATATATATATACATATACACTCAACAAAAACATAAACGCAACACCTTTGCTTCTGCTCCGATTTTTCATGAGATGGACTTAAAGATCTAAAATTCATTCCAGATACACAATATTACCATTTCTCTCAAACATTGTTCACAAATCAGTCTAAATGTGTGATAGTGAGCACTTCTGCTTTGCTGACATAATCCATCCCACCTCTCATGTTTTGGTGGGTTTTTTATGTTCACAAGCACATTCCCTCTCACAGATTACTAAACTG